GGTGGTGGTCAGAGGGCCCGGTGGCGCCAGTGTCCGGCAGCCTCGCCTCTGTCAGTGCGCCCCAGGGTGGCTGTGGCTACATTGTAGCTTGCCATCACCAGTGTGTGAATGTGTGTGTGAATGGGTGGATGACTGGATATGTAAAGCGCTTTGGGGTCCTTAGGGACTAGTAAAGCGCTATATAAATACAGGCCATTTACCATTTATCAGCACTGGGTCTTTTGTTTGATGGTTCCACAGTGCCTCCTTCTGGCCGTGAAGAAGCACCACACCTCTCTGCTCTTTCCATTACAGGGAATGTGTAGAAAGCACAAACCTTTAATAATCACAGCTGAGATCATAAAGTGTAGTTATCCTTCCTTCCTTTCCTTCTTCCTTCCTCTTAAGCACTTAAGGGTTGCTGGAGAGGGGGTTGAAGAGTATCCCAGCTGTCACGAGGTAAAACTCAGGGTACACGCTTGACAGTTCACCACTCATGATCACATTCCCAATAGATTATTGTAGTTCCCCAAAATCAACAATTAACCTAAAAAAGCAAGTTGTTGGACAGTGAGAGGGAGCCGGAGCATCCTCAGAGAACCCAACATGCAAACAGCAGATTCACATGCACGACCTTCTTGCTGTGAGGCAACAGAACTAACCACTGCATCGCCATGCTGACCTTAGAGTGCAGTCCTGTGGTGGAAAATGTTACTGTGGGTGCTTTAGATTAAATTACATACAAAAAAAGTACTGGTTTATTATATCAGTGGGTAAAAGAGTCAAGATTGGATCTAAAGGATGTAAATGGACACGCACAGTGCATTTCTGCTCAGTCTGAACACTCAACGCAGCCTCATTCGCCCAACTGAAACTCAGCGTTCAGTATCTCCTTTTTTTCACCAAAAGACTTTCTCTGTATCTCTGCTGTTTGTTTTTGACTTGAAACACTAAATAAATGTTTTACTACACATCTGTCTCGATTGTTTAATCAGCTGCTGTAAACTGTCCAAATTTAAAATGCTACATTTAGTAGATTTAGAGATATTAATTTCACTATTTTTAGGTAATGATACTTTATAAACCTATTCTGCTGTTTAACAAAGACAGTATCATCATGTTTAAAGCACTTTTAAATCTGACAGCAGCACTCAGTTCTCCTGCACATGTGTGATCTTGGAGTGAACTGAAGGTTCAGATGCATCTCTCAGGACCTGTGTGGGGACTTTGCTGGACTTTTGTCTGTTTCTTAAAGATGTGACCTTCAGATGCTATTCAGCTGGTGTAGATAGTGTGTGTGT